GTTCTAAACTTACAACAGGTTCACTTTGTTGGGTTTTATTGCAGCACTTTCCAGCTCAAAATGATTCTTAGTTTTCCTCATGAGACTCATTAGATGTTGCTTTAGCCTGCACTCCTTTGCAATTAACACTGAATCGTGACTCATCTCTCCTTTGCATTTGTTCTGAACCATAAATGAGTAATTTTGTTGCAAATAACCTGACAKTACCTCAACTCGCAAAGAAACAAATTAAACAAAACAAACAAAAAAAGCCAAACAGACACATGTGGATAGATGAGAAAGTAACTCACCAAATGGTCGGTGGTTCGGAGCCCTCCACTTCTAGGTAGTCATACTTTTCTTCAGTCTGGAAGTCTGTAAAGATGACAGAGATGGTGTCTCCAGGTTCGGCCAATAGGATCCAAGTACAGTCGGCTTGGTTACCATAGTTGCCAGGGTAACCGGGACTGGTCACCACCCCACTGCCGCCCCTCACAGTGCCCCCACATGTGTCCTCAGCTGTCAATCAAATCAGAATGACAAATAGAAAACCTGGGTTAGGGAGAGGAGGAGGGACTGAGGGGCGGACTTTTCTTTTTTTTTTTCTTTCTTTCTTTTTTTCTTCCAAATTGAAATTAATGCTTTTGGCATGAATATATTTACTTCCAGATTTGGTTAAGTCAAATAACAGATGACTGAACTAGAATTGAGAAATTTAACAAATTAGCATTCAAGATCAAATTTGCAATACACCTAAAGCCATTTCTCAGCCGCTCTAGCAGACTATAAATCAGCCAGCCCAACTCCCCAACTCTGTCCCTATGGATTTTGCTCCTGTTATCTTAACTTTAATATCACGTTTGTTTTTTTTTTTTCTTTTTTGCTCCATGGATGTTATTTTGTGACTTGAATGTTAGAAATGGATGATTTTCTCATGGCACATATCATATTAGCAAACCATATTGTGAAAATATGGAGCTCTCACATCACATTTAAGATCTGAAATAAGTTTGAAAAAAATAGCAAGACGGATTGACCAGTCCTGACTTTGGGAGACTATCAGCTGTCTACTTCTTAATCTGGTTAGAATTAGGAGTTGAGTTTAGGGGTTAGGCTGCAGTTCCTGTCACACTCAGAGCTACTGTCCTCTCCTCCAACTATAGGGAACAATTTCAGTTTGTCCAATAATTTGAGCTCCGCTCTCATCTCCTCCAATCACCACCAAGGAACTTTAAATTTGACTATTATCCAATCGCCTCATTTAGAGTATGCTTTCACTTAAAATCCAAATCAACTTCTTTTTTTTTTACCATATAGAACAGATGTGATGTTAGATTTGGTTTAAATTGCCAATCACATCTGATTATTAGTGGTATGCAATTGATGCTGATTATTGTATAACAGATAAAGACACATGGATTGCGCTGTGTACACAGCAATAAATTATACACATAATTTATACAGATACACTCACTGAGAAGGAAAAAGAAGCACAACATTGAGCCTTATATCACTGGTGCACTGGCGGTCATTTTAGGGAATGGATCTGTTATTTATTGTAACTTTTTATTTGATCTAATCTAATACATCCTTATATTTAAAAACATGCTTATATTTGGGTTATCAAAGAAAAGTTRTTCAGCCAGTGTCCCAGTGATGAAAGACCCAATGTTGATTTTTTTTTCTTTCCTGTGAGTCCAACTGTGATCTTGGTATAAATTATACCTGTATATTTTATAGTTATACATAGAAGCAATTATGCATGTAACACTCTTATAGCAGACAGATATTTTACTAACGACCAGTAARTGCAATTTCAGATGACACCAGATTAGTATCTAAAGAAGACAGATAGGTTTCATCTTTGAATTACACTCACTGAGAAGCAGAAAAAGACATCCTTTATAAGAGTGTAGACAGGCACTGTCAGGTGTACATGCACATGCTTTGTTTGGGCTCATCCGGGCGTTGCTGTATTGGGTGAGGGGGTAGAGTGGGGCATGTACAGGTGACAGAGATAGGGTAGGGACCAAGCCAAACTCTTCCCACAAGAAGGGTAGAGAGAATTACTCTGGTCCAAGACTCACATCTTTCAACAGATGATAACCAAATACACACGGATAGAAACATTGGCAAAAATATATTAGAAACTGGACAGAACACTCAGAGGAGACAGGAAATACAGGTGGCTAATAGTGGGGACAGAAATAGACAGGAACACAGACAAACAAAACTGGATTATCTAAAAACAAGGTTAATTTGAAAACAAAAACGTGTTTTGGTACAACATGCACCRAAAAAGGAGCAAGAAACCAAATGAATAACAAAATAATTGGTTTGAAATGAACTGTAAGGTGGATTGAATCTAATTCAATAGATCAGCAAGTGAATTTAACGTGATCATTCAGCTTTTAAATTGGGATTCTGTGGAAAGGTAGCAAACAATGTATCTGTTGTAAAGCACGTGTGTCAAACTCAAGGTCCGTGGGCCAAACGTAGACTGCCACTGCATTTTGTGTGGACTGTGAGAAGTTAAAACTTGTAACAATGTCTTAAAATAACCATATACTACTTTAAAGCTAGCAAAAAACTGCATAAACTGCATCTCTCATAATGCATATCAGTTATTTTACCTGTTAAACGATGACAACCCACCTCTAGACAGAGGTGCASAGAGTTTAAAAGTAGCAAACTGCCAGCAAAACTCACCATGTAAATTATTCTACTATTGTACTGGGAAATGAGAATTTCCCATTTACAAGTTTTAATTTTAAACTGAAATGCCCCTCCAGTGGGAATTARCTGTCGGAAAGTGGCAGAGTTCMGAAGTCAAGATGGCCGTTAGCACTCATACCACTCTTTTTAAGAGTCCCCCTGTATTATTTATTTCACATTTAGTCAACTGTACACAGTATTATTCAGTGCTTATAARGGGAWGTGTTAAAACACTGTTTCTATGCAGGAGATACCACATAGAGATCTGTTATTTGTTAGAGGTGCTCAGTTGAAGCAATGAGAACAGGAGTTTGACATTTTGTGTTAAGTCAAAGTGAAAAAAAACAAACAAACATAATGCTCATGAGCTTAGTGAAAATGAATTTGACAACCTTGATGTCTGTTGTTAGTTTTTAATTGCATTAGATTTTTTTGTAGAATTGTTTTTTTTTTACTAGCACAAAACGTTGGAGCAGCAGCGGCAGCTAGCTGTGGCCCCTTTTGCACAACTGGTGTCTGAGACTAACCTTGCTATGTAAGACTGTWATCTGCGTAAATGTTTTCAAAAATGCGACTGCATAAATCACTACATTTTTGAGACAAGTTTACATAAGACTGTAGCAGCTCCGAGCAGCTGATAGCTCGTCAGTTCAATCAGAACTACACTTTTGTTTTTCCAAACTGAAGCTGTTCAAAGAGCTAACTATAACTGTCATATTATTGTTGATGAATTTTGCTCAGAACCACACTTCAGAAGATTTGAACAATTTTCCTGAGAACAATACACATTTCCAGTTGTTTCTTACTGGAAACTTGTTTTAAATACAATTCTATTGAATTGTCACAAATTGCATTTGCTGATTTATTGATAAGTACATAAATATGCTATAATTCCCCAAACTCAAATGTGTAAAAAAAAGGGGGGTAAGTACTGGCTGCAGAATCAGGTGGGCAGGAAGACAGACAGACCACTCAGTTCTACAGACAGCCATTTCACAGCTAGACAGTCGAGGAGATTTGTTTAAATGACCCGACACCCCAAACCAAGACCTTCAGAGACCCCGTCATACTTGCAGGAGAGCAATGAAGCATTGTGAATTCAGTGTGTGTGTGTCCACATGATGGGAGAGTGCTGCTTGCGGGATGGCAGCTGTCACAGGTTTATCATGACAACGGCAGGACATCTGCAAGCACCGACGGACACAGACCTGCAGATCCACGCATACACACAAACACACACACACACACACACAAACACGCACACACTTCTTCCAGCCCATCGGCTTGTTCATCTGCCGGTGACAGTTGACAGACAGATGGAAATCCCTCAAGGTGCTCTGAAGTGTGATGTGTGTTTCAGAGAAGTGGTGAAAATTAAGTTGTTAAAATAAATGAATGAAAATAAAAAAAAAATAACCAACTAACAACGCAACGTGGTGGCCATCTTRAATGCAGAACATGGCATTCGGTAACGGCAATTACCAACCAGAAACTGTAATGGAGATAAAAAGCCGCGAAGATTGAACAACCTGACACATATCAGAAAATCAATAAGTCAGAGATGAGTCGGCAYGGATTTAAAACCACCTATTCAAGAGAATGCTCTTGAAAAGTGCCCAGAGATATTCATTGTTTTTGTGTGTGTGTTCATCCCTTACTATATGTGCTGTATGTGTTTGTGTGTGTGTTCTATACATCTTCTCTTTACTCAAAGGTGGCCCGTAGGAGAAAACATGAAAGTTGTTAGCTGCAAGCTATGTTCCACTTAAAACTGACAGGACTGCTGATCCAACAAACTTCGATAGTGCACAAAACATGTTGTGCTCTAGTTTCAARCATAGTCTATTCACAGTACAATCAATCTCACAGCTCACTCCTAAAGGTGACTAAATGTCATAATATACTGTAGGGGAAAGTAAAACGGCACAGACCATCAAAGTGAAGTTAAGAGCAGTGGATTGCAGTCGTCAGTCAGAATTAAACCCTATTCCCACCATTAATTGTTCAGAACTTTTGCACATAAACCCAMTTCAGAAGATCTTAACTATGTTTATTGTCTTTTATTTCAAAGACTGATAATTCTAGCCAGTCAAAAAACATTAGCAGATGCTCAAAGCTCCCAAATTTGCAAAGACACTTMATCACGCTCGTTTACTAAAAATGCAGAACTAGGCCAAACTGAACTAACTGAGCTTTACATGTCCTACTTTGYTGCATTTGTTATAAATAAATAAGTAAACAAACAAATTGTGCAAACAAAAACTCTACCTTATGATAATAAAGTTAAAGCAGGTTGAATTTACGATATTTAATATGGCTTAATTGGGCGATGTTTTGTATTATGCAGTTTTTTTTGTCATGACTTACTGCAAAATCCAATAGATCTGCGTCTTTACTGTATATTGAACACTAAACATACTTTTCCTGCTGTGACAAGTCAAACAGCTTGTTTTTTTATTGCACATTCAATGCCACTAGAAATGCTGTTCTAATCATTACCCATCCAAAACTACAAAACACTTGAACACTCAAAAATGCTAAGCTTACGTTTATAGTTGTTAATCAGCTTTGACATGTGTTGATCCAAAATGGCCCCTGTTGCTTTTATTTTAAACTGTTCATCTGTCAATAACCAGGAAAAAAAAACTGCATTGTTCACAAAACCTAAAGGTAATTCCGATGTCATGAAAGGTAATAATTTTAGCTGACACATAATGCGATTAAGATCCTCGCAAATTCTGCAGCGTGTCATCAAGTGACGGCAGCGCAACGCTGAGACCACTTCAGGAGCAGCTGCTCTGATA